GGTTTAGGGTTTAGGGCCAGGTATGGTCCCGATTGGGTTTAGGGCCAAGTTCAAGGTTTGGGGGCATCATAGGACTGCAGCGTTTGGGAAGCCCCTCCTCATGATCCAGGGAGCTGCCCGTGTGAACGTCATTCCAGAATCAGGGTCCCTTTGCAAGGATCGTTTAAGAAAGGGGTTGCCAAATAAAGGAAGAGGCCTCTTTTTCCTGACTCAATAGCCAACCAGAAACGACGCTTACCAGCGTAGTCAATGAGTTTATGCCTTCGCTTGAAGTAGTTGCTGATCACGATCAAAAATCAATCGTGAAATTGAAGACTAATTGAAGCCGTGAGTGTGTCAAAGAAGATCACCCATAGATTCCGAAATTGACACCCACGAATGAGCACAGACAAACAGTGTCTCAGATACAGCCCAGTTTCCACACACTCAGCGCATTAATAAAAGTCAGTATAGTTGACATCCATTCTACATATATATATATGGTCACCCCCCCCCAATGGACCCACCGCGGGCCTTGATCTTTGCAAAAGTACCGCAAATACCGATAAAACCTATGCTGTCTGGTGATTTTCCGGTGACCGGATTTTTGACTGTATTCCTTAATTCACCCTCTCACACACGCACGGAGGGTTTTTCTTTCTGTTGGCTTTTGTTTATAATTTAAGATCTAGGCATTTAAACCTAAGCCTGCAAAAAAAAAACCTTAACCTTTAAACCCTGTAGGGTTAAGGTTTAAAGGTTAAGGGTTTAAGATTTAGGCATTTGAACCTATGCCGGTAATTAAAGCTAAGCCCTTAACCTTTAAATTCTATCGGGTTGAGATTTTTACAGGTTTAGGGTTTAAGATGTAGGCATTTAAACCTAAGCCTGCAACTAATTTTAAACCCTTAACCTTTAAACCCTGTAGGGTTAAAGTTTAGAGGCTTAGGGTTTAATATTTAGCCATTTAAACCTGTAGCCAAGCCCTTAACCTTTAAACCCTATAGGGTTAAGATTTTTAAAGGTTTAGGATATAAGATGTAGGCATTTAAACCTAATTAAGCCTGCAACTAATTTTAAACCCTTAACCTTTAAACCCTGTTGGGCTAAGGTTTTAAAGGTTTCGGGCTTAAGATTTAGGCATTTAAACCTATTCCGGCAATTTACGCTAAGCCTCTAACCTTTAAACCCTATAGGGTTAAGATATTTAAAGGTTTAGGGTTTAAGTTTAAGGTTTAGGTATTTAGACCTATGCCGGCAGTTCATATTGAACCCTTAACCTTAAACCCCATAGGGATGAGATTTAAAGGTTTAGGATTCTTTACTTAGACATTTAAATCCAAGCTGACGATTCAACCTAAACCCTTAACCTTTAAACCCTATAGGGTGAAGGTTTAAAGTTTTAGGGTTTAAGATTCAGACATTTAAACCCAAGACAGCGATTAACACTAAGCCCTTAACCTTTAAACCCTATAGGGTTAAGGTTTAAAGGTTTGGGGTTTAAGATTCAGGCATTTAAAGCTAAGTATGTAATCAATTTGTCACCCTTAACACCTCTAAACTCTGTAGTGTGAAGGTTTAAAGGCTTAGGGTTTAAAAAAACCTAAGCCCCCTAAGCCCATAGAGTTTAAACCTTAAGGGTTTAAGGTTTACGCATCTATTCCTTAACCCTAAACCCTCTAGGGTCAGGACCCTAAAGCCCTCGGCAATCAAGCCTAAACCCTTGACCTTCAAACCCCATAGGATGAAGGTTTAAAGGTTTGGGGTTTAAGACTTAGGCATTTAAACCTAGAGGGCATTTAAGCCTTAATCCTAAACCCTTTAGGGTCAGAACCTTAGCACCCTATAGGGGTCTAGCACGTTCAAAGGCTTGAACCCTACAGGCGCTGAAGGTATACATGTCCTATCGGTTTTTAAACCATTACACCCTGTAAGAAGGTTTAGGGTCTTTTCGGGGTCTATCTCTAAATTTCTCACGGGGTTAACCCTGCAGGGTTTAAAGTTAAAGGTTTAGGGTTAAAGGTTAAGGCAATACCTATAGGATTAGAACCTTATAACCCTGTAGTGCATGAGGCTTAAACCCCTAAAACTTAACCATCTTTTTCTCGAGAAAACCAAAAAAACCAAAAAAACCAAAAAAACCAAAAAAACCATCTTTTCCAAAACTATGGGGCTGGGGCCTCCAAAAGATGGTTTTTTTGGTTTTCTCGAGAAAAAGATGGTTTTTTTGGTTCGAAACCATCTTTTTCTCGAGAAAAAGATGGTTTTTGAGCAGCCGCTCTTCGAAAAACCATCTTTTTCTCGAGAAAAAGATGGTTTTTGGAGATCTTGTCCTGGAAAAACCATCTTTTTCTCGAGAAAAAGATGGTTTCCGGAGGTCTTGTCCTGGTAAAACCATCTTTTTCTCGAGAAAAAGATGGTTTTTGGAGGTCTTCTCCTGGTAAAACCATCTTTTTCTCGAGAAAAAGATGGTTTTTCGAAGGATGGTTGCTCAAAACAATCTTTTTCTCGAGAAAAAGATGGTTTCGAACCAAAAAACCATCTTTTTCTCGAGAAAACCAAAAAAACCAAAAAAACCAAAAAAACCATCTTTTCCAAAACTATGGGGCTGGGGCCTTCAAGAGATGGTTTTTTTGGTTTTCTCGAGAAAAAGATGGTTTTTTTGGTTCGAAACCATCTTTTTCTCGAGAAAAAGATGGTTTTTGAGCAGCCGCTCTTCGAAAAACCATCTTTTTCTCGAGAAAAAGATGGTTTTTGGAGATCTTGTCCTGGAAAAACCATCTTTTTCTCGAGAAAAAGATGGTTTTTGGAGGTCTTGTCCTGGTAAAACCATCTTTTTCTCGAGAAAAAGATGGTTTTTGGAGGTCTTGTCCTGGTAAAACCATCTTTTTCTCGAGAAAAAGATGGTTTTTAGAAGAGCGGCTGCTCAAAAACCATCTTTTTCTCGAGAAAAAGATGGTTTCGAACCAAAAAAACCATCTTTTTCTCGAGAAAACCAAAAAAACCATCTTTTGGAGGCCCCAGCCCCATAGTTTTGGAATTTTTGGTTTTTTTGGTTTTTTTGGTTTTTTTGGTTTCTTGGATTTTTTTGGTTTGTTGGTTTTTGTTAATTCTTATTTTGTTGTTTTTTGCCTTGATCTGGCTAGGACTCGGCTGCCATGCGCGGTGGGTCCATTGGGGGGGGGTGAGCTATATGGTCACCCCCCCCCAATGGACCGATATATATATATATATATACATATAGTCGACTGCCGAGTGATACAATCACAGTGTCTATTCTTACATCGCAAAAAACCGACAAACATTCTGGCTTGGAATCAAGGAATTGCTCCAAACCGACACAAGCATCATCAGTGTGTTTACAGTGACACAGCATCGCGCCAAATCGGACCCTCTTGCAATTTATGAAAGTACCTCCACGGCAACCCTCTTCAGAGCAACCCTTCGGTGATGGAGGGAGAAAAGGTTACCAACTCGTAGCTTTCCCCGGGGGAGTGGGGGGGGGGGGTTACCTGAGTAACCAATACGCCCTAAAATACGACGCCCGCCTTTCTTGCCAGGCTTGTTAGACGGACCACTCTTCAGTGCAGCCCTAAACCCTAAGCCCTTACATCCTTTACTCTGGGCTTCCCAAACGCTGGCGAGGACACCCCAAACCCAAAACCCTAAAGCCTGAACCCTAAATTCTAAACTAAACCCTAGACCCTGAACCCCAAAATTCAGAGGTTAGAGCCTTGGGCTTCGCATGAGGCTTCGCCGCAGCCTGGGGTGGGTCGCTGGCTCAAGGTGTTCTCTAAGGATCCATGTACCCATATGGTTTACACTTGGGTTTAGGGTTTAGGTTTTAGGGTTTAGGGTTTCATACTTGGGCCCTACAGCTACTATATGGGCATTTCCCAAAACAGGGGTACCCCTTTGTTATACCACAAATGAATCGAATCCCCTTAAAGGGACCCTCGAAAAGGGTACCCTATTTTTCGAGAACCCCCAATAGGAACCTCCTGTAACGCCTAAGTTTGGTGCAAGGCAGCCCCTAGTAAAGGCTACCCAAAAAGGGGCCTTCCTTGAGTGAGCGGACCATATTGAGACCGGAAAGCGCAATGCAGGTTTTGAGGGACGACTTCGTCGCAAACAGTCAGATTTTGGGGATGAACTCGAGAAACTCGAACGGATGTCTAGACTCCTGCACCAAGAACAACAAATAAAAGGCTACCCCACAAGCCCTAAACCCTAAACCCGAAACCCTAAACCCGAAACCCTAAGCCCTAAACCCTACCTAGACCCTAGACCCTAAACCCTAAACCTAAACCCTAAACATCCCTAAACCCTAAACCCTAGACTCAACGTCTGCGCCTTCTTGGGCTTAGCCGCTTTCTTGGGCGTCGCGGCTTTCTTGGGCGTCGCAACCCTCTTTGCCCCGGACTTCGGAGCGGCCTCGGGCTGAAACTTCAGGGGTTTAGGGTTTAGGGTTTAGGGTTTAGGGACTTAGGGTTTGGGGGTTTAGGGGTTTAGGTAGGGATTTCGCGGTTTAGGGTTTAGGGGTAGACAGGTTGGGGTTTAGGATTTAAGGATTTTGGGGGGGTTCAGGCTTAGCGGGTTGAGGTGAAGGGGTTTAGGGTTTAGGGTTTAGGCGTTTAGGGTTTAGGGGGTTAGGGTTTGGGGTTTATCGGTCACATGGTTTTATGGGGTGCCTATAGGGTTTATCGGGTTTCTGGGGTTTATCTGAACAAGTCCCTGAAATTTATATGGTTTATAGGGAAAAGTTCTGGGCTCGTGGGGTTTCGTCGTTCAAAAGCTCATCTTGCGGCGCACAGAAATCCCTACTTGGGGGGGGGGGGGGGGGCACTTGTGAATGATTCTGCTGGCTTTCTTGGCTTGGGGGGTTAGGGTCTATTAGGGTTGAGGGTTTAGGGTTGGGGTGCTATTTGGGGGAGAGTAACCTGCTTGGGCAGTGACTTCTGTGATGCGTCGCGTTCTAAGGGGACTTGCGTCGCAAAGTCGAACATCGCAGGTGGAGCGGTCTAGCGGCGGAGGAGCCGCCTTGATAACCGGCCCAGGGGTACCTCCTGAAGCACGCCTCGTCCGTGGGGATCGTGGGTGGCTGTTGCTCCAGGGCTCGGCGCCTGTCGCTCTGAGCACATCGCTCAGCAAAGCACGAAGGTCCCCCGGTGGTACCTCGTCCACACGTAGTTCGTTCGGAAGGACAACGGCGAGGTCCTCTTCGAACATGCGGAACTCCCGAAATTTCATGGTGATGCATCAACATGCCCAGGCTGGACCCTAAACCCTAAACCCTAAACCCTGAACCCCAAAAAACCCTAAACCCTAAACCCTAAACCCTAAACCCTAAACCCTAATTGAGCCTAATGTCGTATCCTGATTAGTCTGGACCCCTCCAATAATGAAAAGTTTTCCAAAAATTATTCAGGAGACAAAAATTCGATTGCCCCCCCCCCCCCCCCACAAAAAAAAGTAAAGTTTTTCGGGCATGGGTTTCGGAAGAGAGAAAAAAAGAGAACTGAGGCTCTTACCTGAGCTGAGCTCATCTGAGCTTACCTGAGCTTAATTACCTAAGAGGAGAGGGAGAGGAAGAGGAGAGGGAAGAGGAGCGAAGAGGAAATGAAGAGGAGCCGGTGGGGGGGGCCCGGGGCCGAAAATTAGTTTGGGGGGGGTCCTTTTTTTGGTGACACTATTGTGGGGGTGGATTTAGTTTGGGGGGGGGGGGGCCCCCCACCCTAATCAGGATACCACATTAAGGGCTTTAACCCTAAACTCGACAGCCTGAGTATGGGACTTGGCCCCCCGTTGAGGGTTTAGAGTTTAGGGTTTAGGGGTCTCGCAATTACTTTGGGTTGAGGGCGAGTACTTGCCGTTGCGGGCTGGGCATAGGGTGGGGGAGGGATTTGAGAGGTTCTGGTAGAGTGTAGGGTTTCAAGCTCATGGGGCTTATGGAAAGCCTGCCTTAAAGTAGACTTTGCAGCTAGTCACTAGTTGGGAAGTAATAGTACTAGTAAGGTGCTTGCGGCGGGCATTAAAGTACAACTCTTTAATACCCTGAGCGCCTTGGCTTTGGCAGATGGTTTCTTCATGACAACTGGCTCTTCCTCTTCCATCTCCTGTGCACTTTCGGGTCCATGCGTCTTTAGGGGGTTCTAGTTCGGGTTTAGGGTTTAGGGATGTTTGTGTTGGGCGCTTACTTTACTGCGCCTAAACCCTCTAAGGCCCTATCAAGCCCCAAACCCCGCAGACCAAAGCCCAACCTGGCCAGGGGTCAAATGTGGGTGCTGACCGGTGTTGTTGCGTTGCAGTGGGGTTTAGGGTTTAGGGTTTAGGGTTTAGAGTTTAGGGTTTAGGGTGTTAAGCCTCTCCTTTGCAGCTTTGGTAGAGATATCATACATCCTTGCACAGGGCTTGGGGTCTAGATAAGTTCTGATTCCGCCTCCGACCCTTCCAAATCGCGGGGTGCGACCTCTAGCATCAAGATCTCTCTCCCACCGAATGCATGCTGTCCAAAGGCACGAAGATGTGAAGAAATAAGCATGGCCCTACAGCACAAGTGGGGGTTGCCGAAAAGCTGGGTCCTGACTAGAGCCAGTCTACTATGTTTGGGGTAACATGGTGGACGCTAATTTCCCAAACTCCGAAGGAAGAGGCAGGCATGCCATGACTCGCACCTCATCTTCTTCCTCCTCCTCTTCTTCATCCTCTTCCTCCTCTTCCTCTTCCTCCCCCTCGTCCTCCGACAGTGGGTCTTGCACATACCCCTCAACCCCTAAACCCCGAAAACCTCAACCCCCGAGACCCTAAACCGCCTAACACCTAGGTCGCAAGGCCAAAGCCATGCTGCATGTTTCCAACCTCGGTTGAAGTGAGTCCTTTCGACCCCCTTCCACCGTCCCTAAACCCCAAACCCCAAACCCCAAACCCCAAACCCCAAACCCCAAACCCTAAGCCCTAAACCCTAAACCCTCAGCTCGAAGATGTCCGCCGTGCTCAGCCCTAAAATCCTAGGGCCTTAAGACTGGAAGCCTTCGTCGCTTCTGCTGGGGCGCCGGGGAGGAGGGGGGGGGGACGGCAGCGTACATTGTGAACGTTAGAAGCTGGGTTTAGAGCGTTTAGGGTTTAGGGTTTAGGGTTTAGGGCTCTTAGGACTTAGGGTTGAGAGACAACCCAAAGGTCACGGGTTTTTAGGGTTTAGGGTTTAGGGTCTCAAGGTGATCGGCTGTTTATCGATTCGGGCAAGAGGTGTGGAATAATCCGTCATGCTCAGTGTTCATCAGGCCCTCTTGTATCAACCCCCGCAGGTTACGGACCTCATCTTACGAGTGAAAACAGGGAATTAGCGAATTGAGGAATTAGGGTCCTTATAGAATCCTTGAAAGTGGGGAGCAGGCGGGGACAGAAAGTACCTAACTCCCTAATTCCCTACGGAGGCGTGGGCTCCATTGTGCTGCTGCAGTTAAATACATAACCGGTGCACGTTCTCCGCTATCATGGAAACGTATCTGGTGGGGAGGGGGGGGGGGGGGCACTTGGGGTTCAAGGAACCAATTACAACCGTACTGTACCTATAATAGAAGCCCCCTAAGGCCTTTAAGTAGGTTAAGTAGACTTATCGTTGGGGTTATACCAGCCCTAAACCCCCAAAAACCCTGTAAACACCATAAATAAACCCTAAGTACACACCATAAACGCTCGAAATCCCGTAAAACCCTGCAAACCCTAGCACTTCGAGCTCTCCCCTGGAGTAGGCCGCTGGCCTCGTCCTCTTCCTCCTCCTCCTCATCCTCTTCCTCAGCTTCGGCGTCCTCTTCTTCCTCTTCCTCCACAACCTTTGCGCCCTCGAGGGTGCTTAAGGGTTCCAGGTACAGTGCTTAGGGTTTCCGAAGCCAAAATCATCCCTCGACAACTGCAGGGGGGAGGGGGGGGGGGGGTGGCTGCCACCAAAAGTACCGAGTCGAGAAAAATCGAGATCGTATTCCAAAACATCTAGACTTTAGGGTTTAGGGTAATGTCTTTCGCCTTCCTTGTGGAGCAGATCAAGGTCCTTTGAGTTTTCCGACACCGTGGGATACACAGTGGGTTACGGCGCTGCCCATAGCCCTGCGAAACAATAGGGTTTAGGGTTTAGGGTTAAGGTTTAGGGTTTAGGATTTAGGGTTTAGGGTTTAAAGACCTGTGAAGAAGGAAAACGAATGGTATGGTTCAGGAAGATACTGGGAAAGTGGCAAGTGGTAGGAGTGTAGGTACCAAGTTCCTCCTGAACCATAAACCCTAAACCCTAAACCCCTCTCTTCGAATCCGGCCACAGTCAGCTATGAACCCTACCCGCACCAAACCGCGACGGCCTTGGCCGGTTGGCCTTGAACCCTGCAGAAATCTAACTACAAAGGTCCCCTCTATATAGTGGGAATATACAGAATCTACGTATTCTGTATGTGATATACATATATATATATATGTGCACGTATACTTTTCTATGTATTTATATTCCCAGAGTCCTAATCCCAAATACCCTTCGCTGCGGCCTTGGCTTTGGCCTTGGCTTTCGCTTTGCCAGCCGCTTTCGGTGAGGCTTTCGGCGCTCCCTGCGAGAAGCACTATAGCCCACATCCCGGGGTCCCTAGGACTCTGGGCCCTATGTTGGGGGCTTAGGGGTGTAGGGTTTAGGGTTTATGGTTTAGGGTTTAGGCTATGCGCTACAAACCCTCGACCCTCAATCCTCCGTTCGTAGGTGGTTCTAGGGGTTGCTCCAGGGGCAGAGTATTTTGGGGACACATTGCCCTTAAGCCCTTAAGCTCAGACCTAAACCTAACGTTCCCGTGTGGCATGAAACAGGTCTGAGGTGCAGGGTTCAGGAAATGCTCGAGCTACATGGGGGTTTCCGAAATTAGGGGTACCTTATTGGGTTCTGATTATTGGGGGAATCCTACTATTTAAGGGCATATGCTTGGGGGTCCCTTTGGTGAACCCCCACATAGAATCTACACAGTTAAGGACACCCAGGCTTTGAGCAGCCTGAATCCACTAACCCCATAAGCGCACTGCCCACGGCTTGAGGCTAAACAACAACTCTCAAGTCTAGCCCTGACCCCTCGAACAGGTTCATAAGGCCTTAAGAACTTAACCTACTCGGTTCCTACCCTTTTGCTTAAAGAACTAGGCTGCCCAGTAACCTAGGCTTAAAAAGGGTGCCCTTTTTTGCTTAAAGGCGTTTATAAGTGAACCTAAACCCCCCAAAAAGGGAACAAGGGTACTACTGGGCATCCTAGAGAATCCCCAATAAACCCTAAACCCTAAACCCTAACCCTAAACCCTAAACCCTAAACCCTAAACCCTAAACCCTAAACCCTAAACCCTAAACCCTAAACCCTAAACCCTAAACCAAGTCAAGCTCTCTGGTGCCTACATTACAACGGACCCAGGCTTCGGGTCCAAGCCTGCTCCTCCTTGACCCCCCCTTATCCTCCTGGTTCTTAGTAGGGAATGAGGGAAGAAGGGCCCCTATGTAATCCCTTAAAGGGTATATATAGGGCTCTCATCCCCTTCTTCCCTACTAAGAACCAGACCCCCCCTATGGTGCCTTCGCGGCCGGCTTCTTCATCGCAACGTCGGCCATCTCCTGGCCAGACGCTTCTGAAACCCCAAACTCAGACCCTAGGGTACGTACCCTAAACCCTAAACCGTAAACCCTAAACCCTAAACCCTAAACCCTAGACCCTGGACCCTCGACCCTAAGCCCAAGAAGTTAGACTCCTTTTGTCGGTTGGACACTTGGGGTGAACCCCTCCATAAAGCTTCCACACCCAGCCCCTAAACGAATAACCCTATCAATTAAGCCACTCATAGGCCCCAAAACACGAAACCCCCTAAACCCTGAACCCCCTAAACCCTAAACCCCCTAAACACGAAACCCCCCTAAACCCTAAACCCCCTAAACTCAAAACCCCCCAAAACCCTGAACCACCTTCACACCATGAACGTTTGGGGAAGGTTCCGGGATCTCTTGGTGCAGAGGCAAAGAACCTCAAGGATTCCTTTAAGCCCCAATCCCAAAATCCAAAGCCCAGAACCTCAAACCATAAACCGTCTGCGAGTGCTTAAGGGCCCAAGGGTTTGAGCTTTCGGGTCGGGGACTTAGGTTGCCCAAACGAAAGCTCACACTGAAGCCTTGCATAGGGTTTAGGGTTTAGGGTTTAGGGTTTAGGGTTTATGCTTTAGGGTTTAGTTTAGGTTTAGGGTTTAGGGTTCAAAACCCTAAGCCCGAAACCCCAAACCCTAAGCCTAAAACCCGAAAAAAAATAAGCCCGGAGACCGAAACTGCTTCGGCTCCTCGTCTTCTTCCTCTTCCTCTTCCTCCATAGCTTCATCCACCTGCTTCTTATACTAGCTATCAATAGGTTTTGGGATTTTTGGGTTTACGGTTTAGAGTTTAGGGTTTTTGGTGTTTTGGGTTTTTTTAGGATTCGTTTTATTTGTTCATGGTTCAGGATTTTGAGGGTTCAAGGCTGAGAGCTTCAGCTACCTCATTGCTACGACTTCTTGATAAGGAATGAAGGCCCCAGATGCACGAACTCCTACTACTAAGAACCCGTAAGGTCTCGGGAGAAGAGTCCCGCAAGGCCTCAATGTCAGCAGGGTCACCCGACCTGCAACCCAAACAAATTACCCAATCAGGTTACAACCCCTTACAGGGTTATCAGGGGGCCGGACACCCTGGAGCTGCAAAGCATAAACCCCAAACCTGAAACCACGGCGGGTGTTACCCTCGCAAGCAGGCCCAAACACCCGAGCCCTGAGGTGCCAGGGGTTTGAGGGTGACGTGGTCCAAACCCTGCAGACTTCGACGCCCCTTCTCGTAGGACGATACTTCAGAATCCTTCAAAGGAGGTAAGGGACCATATCAAGGGGCGCATATAATTCCCCCTAGACCCTCCCCGACCACTCTAAACTAACCACCCCCCTCCCCCCACCTCTTCCCTGTACTTGATCCCAAGGATACTTCCTTAAGGGAAGACAGAAATGTTACTAACATTCCCTTATGGGTTCCTACAGAACTACATGGGGCTGCACATCCCAAGGATACTTCCTTTAAGGAAAAAATTATTTACTAACATTCCCTTATGGTTCCTACTGTATATAGCTCTAGGGGCTTGCTCAAGTTCCTGCATGCGGCATTTCGCAAGGGCCCGGGCCTCGGCAGCGGGCTCCACGTCTTCCTCCACCACTGGGACCGCCTGGCAGCGAATGTAGGGTTTAGGGTTTAGGGTTTAGGGTGTAGGGTGTGCGGATCGAGGGGATGGGAATTGGCGTTTACCTGAAGAGCCAATTTACCTAAGACTACAGAACACTAGGTTATGGGATCTCACGATCAGATCCGGATTTGGCGAGTGATGAATGCGCTAACCCTAAACCCTAAACCCTAAAACCCTAATTTCTAACCCCTAACTACTAAACCCTGAACCCTAAACCCTAAACCCCAAACCCCAAACCCTAAACCCTAAACCCTAGCTCGGGGGGAAGAGGTGGAAGTTGCATGGCACAGGGCTTAGGGAAGGAAACCTCAGCAAGCGGGTCTCGAAATACGGCGTTGCCTCAAAGCCTCTCGGCCTGCCCAAAACTCTATGCTCCACATCCCTAGCCCCGATATAAACCCAAATCCTAAACCCTAAATCCTTACGGGCAAGTGATGCCTGGGTTTGTCACAGGGACTTAATCCCCCCAAACCCTAGACCCTGAAGACTTTAACAGCCCTTACAGCCCCTTAAACTCTAAATCACAGACGCCCTGAAGGCCCTGAAAAGTCCGAACCTGTATGCTTACGGCTTAAGGTTTAGGACTAAAGTCAGGTTTCGGGTTTAAGGCTTGTAAGGGTTGAAGGTTTAGGGTTTGAGGTTTTCGGGTTTAGGGCCAAAACCGGCAGATCCCTCCAAATCCTGAACTCGAAACCCCAACTATGATGGCCCTGGAAACCCTCTGAAAAATACTCCTGAATATGATCCTTGGGATGTTTCCCCCTTATACTTGATAAGGACTATAATGGGGGGGGTACTATAATCCCTATTAAGGACAGTGTAAGGGGGAACATCCCAACTTAAAACCCAACAAGGGAGAAAGCCAAACAACAAACAAAACATCCCAAAGGCATAGGGGCCTGAAAAATTAGAAGAGGGTTTTGGGGGGTTATTATCGTATAATTTTGAAGTGACCCTGATGGAATACCATTAGTGTTTTTTCCGACCCCTAAACCCTAAACCCGAAACCTTAAACCCAAAACCCTAAACCCTGAACTTTGAACTCTGAACCCTGAACCCTAAACCCTAAACCCTAAACCCTAAACCCTAAACCCTAAACCCCAACCTATATTCGCCAGTGCCATGCTTGCCTTGGACTTGGCTTTCGCCTTGGCTTTTCCCTTCGCCTTGGCTCTGCCAGAGGCCTCCAGCGTGACAGGTCTAGGGGCTATATGCCCCTAAACCCTTTAGACCATAACCCTAAACCCTAAACCCTAAACCCTAGCCCTAAACCCTAAACCCTAAGCCCTAAACCCTAGCCCTAAACCCAAAACCGGAGGGGTTGAGAGTTCAGGGATTTCGAGGCTGGGGTGGCCCTCTGAAGCAACACTCTCTTAAACCCAACCAGGGACACTAGACCCAAGATTAGGGTTTAGGGGGTAGGGTGTAGGGTTTAGGGTGTAGGGTTTAGGGTTTAGGACCCAAGAGTATGCCTTTAGGGATTAGGGTTTAGGGTTTACGGTTTAGGGTAAATCTTCAACCCGAAGCCCTAAGTCCTAAACAAGTTTGACGGTCAGGCTCAATAGCTGACAGAACGTTAGAGCCGAGGACTTTACCTACACCCCCTGAACCTTAAGCAGGTGAGGGTCATGATGGCCCCTTAAGCTTTCTGAAAACATATCCCTAAACATGATCCTCTTAAACCCTAAACCCTAAACCCTACAAACCTCATAAGGGTACACATAAGACGTCCCAAGGCCCTACCGAGGGATTCGAGGGGGCCTTCCCTGCGGAGGCCAGAATGACAGTTCGTTGGCTTCAACTTGCTGATTGTACTTTGTCAAATTTGAATTACATTCTTTATCATTTTATTTCACTATATTTTTGTTCTCTCTCTCTCTCTCTGCACGCATAGTTCTCTCTCTCTCTCTCTCTCTGTCTCTCTGCTCTCTCATATCTCTGCCACACAACTATCTCAGGTCTCTCTCTCTCTCACTCACTCACTCTCACTCTCGCTCTCCTCCCGCGCCGTCTCTGTCGCCCTCTCACTCTCTCCCTCTCCCTCTCCCCCTCTCGCCCTCGCCCCCTCTCGCCCTCGCCACCTCTCCCCCTGCCTCTCCCTTGCCCACTCCCTTGCTTCGTCTCCGTCATTCTTGTTCCGGCCAGCTGTATTCGGAGTATCGTCGTTCCTTCGTCTGGTGTACCGCTCCTGCATGCTATTTTTGACCTCGACTCAGCCCCGTCTAAGCTACACAACACCCTAAATCCTAAACCCTAAACCCTAAACCCCAAACCCACGCAAAGTCCCCTCTCTCAGCACAACCCTCCCTGAGTGGCACTTCGTTGGGAGCCTCTGCCGCAGGCTCTTCCTCTTCCTCGTCGGCTGGCGCCTCGCCCCTAAACCCTAAACCCTAAACCCTAAACCCTAAACCCTAAACCCTAAACCCCATAGAGCCCACTCTAGGGCAAGGATGGTGGGACTTAAGCGCAAGCCTCCGGGGGGTGGGGGGGGGATTCGGGTGTTGGTTTGTCTGGAGTCTTGTGTTCTTCCAAGGTTTGGGTCTTACAGCTTAGGGTTTTAGGGTGTAGGGTTTAGGGCGCTCTGGGCATTAGAGCTTCGGAGTCTCTGCCCCCCCCCCCCCCCCCCCCCCCCCCCGCCCCCCCACTGAAAAGGAAGAGGGCCTTGAAGACACAGGTGACCCATGCAAGAGCTGCGAGCTGTTTTTGGGGTGTGGGGTTTAGGGTGTAGGGTTTAGGGGTTTGGGGTTTGGTGTTTGGGGTTTAGGGTTTAGGGTGATCTGGCTCACTGCTTGATGACTTTTTCTAGGATGCGACCTGAGTAAAGTGAAGACCGTATACCAAAGATGCGATGAAGGGCAGGGCCGCCAGCTGGGAAAGAATGGCCTCACCTCCGTACCACCAAAGAAACCCTCCCAGTGCTGTACACCCTAACACCAAACCATAAATCTAAACCTTGGTATGTTCCCCCTTATACTAACAGTCCTGGGTTTAGGGTTCAGGGTTCAGGGTTTAGGGTTCAGGGTTTAGGGTTTAGGGTTTAGGGCTACTGTTTGTAATGGGGACGATCATCCCTTCTAAGGACTGTTAAGATACGGGGGAGCATCCCAACCCTTTCACCCCTAAACCGCCTCGAAGGTACCTGAAAAAAGCAGGCACCACAGTGGAAAGCTCACCACAGCTGCGCAGGAAGCATCAAGCACAACAAGACACACGATTCAGGAAAGCTGCGAATGAGGAAAAAAACAACCGAAACCCTAAACCCTAAACCCCTATATCAACCCTCAGCCCTAAGCCCTAAACCCTGAGCCCTAAACCCTAAACCCTCAATCCTAAACCCTAAACCGTTAAACCCTACACTACTAACAAAATCACAGAAGACGCCACCGAGCCCACCTTGCCCTTGGCCTTCGCCTTGGCGCTTCCCTTCGCCTTGGCTTTGCCGGCGGCCTCCGGTGGCGTTGGGACCCTGCGCCCTCAACTCTAGGGTTTAGGGTTTAGGGTTCAGGGTTGAGGGCTTGGGGGAAAAACCCAAAGTCCTGAGCCCTGTAAAGTCCTGAGCCCTGTAAACCTTGGGTTTTCTGGATGCGGTGAGTATTGAACCACACTTTCTGGCCTTGTCCTGCCCTTTCAGGTTTAAGGCCATTTAAGGCTGTCGAACGTCAAGGCACCAATCTCCTGACACCCTTCAATCACTATAAGGATGATTTTCTCTAAATTTATGGTCCCTTTGGGGTCCTTGTTGTAAGGTGGCCCTGCTTCTTTAGGGTACCCAAACAGGGACCATAACTTAGAGAACTGATCAGATACCTTAAACCCTAAACCCTCCAAGCACGCGTGGCGTGTCGGACAGTTTAACGCTCAGGTGCTCAGCGCTGCAAACTACCGGGGAGCTTCCGAAATCAGGCCCCTGAAATTTTATGCTGCTTGCTAGAGCGTTTGTGGTCTTGGGATTCGGCTGAACACCCATTCTGCAAAAATCCCTAGATTCGGAAACGCAATGTTGCGGGCCAGACTAAGTCGAAGAGAACAAAAGCCTGGAGCACGCTTTGTTGTGGGGAGCTTCCAGTACGATTTGCGACAGGCAAGACTGGGTCAGTAAAGAGGAACACGAGCCTCCAGTACGATGTGTTACGAGCCAGACTGGGTGAGTCAAAAAGGACAAGAGCTTCCCGTACCATTTGTGAACGGCCAAAATTGGTACGAAAGTCAAAAGGAACAAGAATCTCCAATGGCCCTGGGTGCCGCGCTGCACTCGCAGGTCTTTTCAAAGCCACGTCTTGCTCCTCTTCTTCCTCCTTTTGATGGGCAGCGGCAATCAAATGGGTTTGAGGTTCCTTCGTGAGAAAACGGCCTACTTCTCTAAACCACCCTAATCTGTGAAAAATCCCTAAGCCCTGCACCCAAACTCCAAACTGGGTTTTGGGTTTAGGGGTTTAGGGGTCAGGTTTAGGGTAAGCCCTAAGCCCTGAAGACCCTTAACCCAAGGGAGCTTGAAGGCTTTGGGACAGTTAACCTTTGATGGGTGCATCTTGGGATGTTCCTCCCCTATTCTAGCTTAATAGGGATTATCATTGGGGGGGGGGGGGGGGGGTTGCTCTAATCCCTGTCAAGGAATCCCTGTCAAGGACTGTTCCCCTTATAATCAGGGGGGCTGCTAAAATCCCTATTAAGGATTGTTCCTTATAGCAGCCCGTAATAGAGACTATAATAGGGGTTACTTACTATAATAACTAAAAGAAGACTGTTAGTAGAAGGGGGTAGCATCCCAAGATGCATGGATGAAGGCGCAAGGGTGCGACTCTAGCTGCTGGCGGCGTTGCATTTGAGGTTTAGGGTTTAGAGTTTGGGGTGCAGGGTTTAGGGTTTAGGGTTTAGGGGTTTAGGGTTTAGGGTTTAGGGTTTTGGGTGAAGGGTTAAGGGTTAAGGGTTAAGGGTTAGGGTTTGGTCTGCGACTTGGGTTTAGGGTCTAGGGTTTGCAGAAAACCCACACTCCTACCAGAAAGGAGACTCCCAAAAGGGTCCATGACTCGGGTCAAGCCCCTAGCGAGGGGGAGAGGCTTGAAGCCGGATCTCGGGGCCCGATTTTTGGATTGCTTTTTCCCTACAGTAAGGGCCCAGTTTTGAAAATAAACCATATCCCCCTTATCAACCTTAAGACTGAAAATCATAAATCCTACAACCCCCGCCCCCCCCCCCCCCCCCCCCCCCACACACAAACCCTAAGCCCCGAACCCTAGACCCTAAACCCTAAACCCCAAACCCTAAACCCCAAGCCCCGAACCCTAAACCACCTACCGACAGTGTCTCCAAAAGTGCCTCTTCGGCCTCTTCAGCCTCTTCTGGTTCATCCTCCTTCCGCCAGGGCCGTGCCCTTATCCCTAAACCCCTAAACCCCTAAACCCCTAAACCCCTAAACCCCTAAACCCCCAAACCCTTAAACCCCCTAAACCCCCTAAACCCCTCAACCCTACACTGCCAGGGCTTAGGGCCTTCTAGGGTCATACATACAGGGCCTGCAGGCTTGCAAGGGCTTAAGCTTAAAAAACGCTTGAAATGTCGAGGCTCTTAGAGGAAGTGGGTGCTCAAGGTTCCGGCTCTGGGGGTTTGGGGTTCTAGGGTCTAAAGGCTTTCGGGCTAAGGGTTTAAGCTCGGGCAAAAGCCGACAAGCCCCTCCTACAGAGGTATACTGGTACCTCTTTGGGAGGATGCTAGGATTTGGTGCTTCTGATGTAGATCCGAATCCTACACGGTCCACTTCCCCGAACATCGGGTTTTCGGGATTTAGGCACACCCCGTTGTAGCTGTTCTTTGCAGGGGCTTCGGGGCTTGGGAGCCCAAGCTCCCTTGGGGCTTTCGGATTTAGGCCACCCCAAACCCTAAACTCAGGGCCTAGGCCGCCCCCCTACAGAGGTCGCTTGCAGCCCTGACGTCGGTAGCACCCACGATGGGCCCGGTACCGGAACGGGTTTTGCCGGGGGACCAGCACTGGTCCCCTTAATATTTTTTTTTACCCTAAACGTCAAGGTCTTCGCTCTGGAGGTCGGTGGCCGTTTCAGGGGGGGGGGGGGGTGCCCCAAGGCCGCCCCCCCTGGCCCCTTGGCCCCCTCCCGCCTCCCCCCCCCGCCTCCCGCACAAAAAAACAAAAACAAAAACCAAAAAAACGCCCCTTTAAGACGTCTCCTTTTCTGTCCTAGGACCTAGCCTCAAACCTTCACTTGGCTGAAAGTGGCCATCGGTGACGGAAAGGTTTTTTTGAAAGTAAGCGATTGTCATGAGTTTAGGCCTAAACCCTAAAAGGAATAGGTTTGGGTGGTTTTGCCGCCTCGGACGGCGTGGAGTGGGAGAAAAATATTAGATGGCCCTCCACAATCGGGCCAGAGCTGCTCTTCGCACCTGCCGAAGCATTCGAGCCGCTGCTGCATCCTAACCTTCACAGCATCTACGCCCTATTACAGCAAACCCTGAACCCTAAACCCTAAACCCTGAACCCTAAACACTGATCCCCAAACCCTAAATCCTAAACCCTGGACCCTAAACCCTAACAAGACTTCAGGGCTTAGGGCCTTAGGGTGTCCTCCTCCGGCGCTGGCTCCTCCTCGGCCTGCATCCGTCTTGGGGCCAAGAGGGCGGCTTACGACTTAGGACTTAGGGTAAGGGTCACCTACAGACCCCCTTTAGGGTATAGGGTTTAGGCTTTAGGGTTTAGGCTTTAGGGCTTTAGGGTTTAGGGTGCCACGTGACCTAGGATTCAAAAGGGTGCATTTGTTTGCTTCAAAGGGGTTTATAAGGAACCTAAACCCCCCCACAAAAGGGAACAAGGGCGCTACGGCGCATCCTAGCCTTGTCATCTACAAATTTCTTGGCAAAACTGGGCTCTGAACAATTCCTTTGTAGAAGCCTTTCCATTGAAAGGATTCTATAGGGTACTCCGTACTTCCCAGGGCTTCCCAAATTTTCGGGGCACTCCTGAAAATGGGACCCAAGAGCCCCAATCTTTATGAAGGAAAAGATGCGGTGTAGGTGAGGGTTTAGGGTCTAAGTAGGGTTTAGGGTTTAGGGTTTAGGGTTCAGGCTTTAGGGTTTAGGGTTTCCTCCATGTGTGCGCTCTGTGTCTCCGCCATAAGTTCAGGCCACTTGGAGCCCTTCAGCCTGAACGATATAAGCTTGACATAGACTCTCAAGTACTCTTGAGGCCCCACCTACACACACACACACACCCACACGCGCGCGCAGAAAGCTAAGCCATCACAATACCACAAGCCCCTCAATCTCTGAGCCATAGCCCTACACCTCAAGCCATCCCGAAACATGCCCGATGGCCTCGGCAATCGCCTTGGCCTTGGCCTTTGCCTTGCCCTTGGCCTTGATACTTGTAGGTGCTTTAGTTAACTTGGGTTTAGTGTCCAGTGGTCTGGGGATGATCCCCAAACCCTGAACCCTAAACCCTAAACCCTATACCCTAAACCCTAAACCCTAAACCCTCGGATTCAAGAAATTGGTGGGGGAGTCGGGCTTTGGAGGTTTGGTAACTTGGGGTGTCTCGACTTCGAAGCTGTCAACCCTAGGCCCGCTAGGATTTCGGGGGGATTAGGGTTTAGGGTTTAGGGTTTAGGGTTTAGGGTTTAGGGGATCAATGCTCAGGGGCTCAGGGGGATCAATGCTCAAGGTGAAGGGCTGCATATTAGGCCCGAAAAAGTCCTCTGAGAATCTTCGATTGACAGACGCCAAGCCCCGGGGGTAGTTGGGGGGGGGGGGACATGACGGATATTTGTGGGTTGGCCTTTTTGCTTAGGACCAGTAAACCCCAAAACGCTAAAACCCTAAACCTTATCAAACCCCAAAACCCTAAACCCTGGTCTGGGGCTACCCTGCGTTACATACCCTAAACCCTAAACCCTAAACCCTAATAAACCCTAAACCCTAATAAACCCTAAACCCTAAACCCTAAACCCTAAACCCTAAACCCTAAACCCTAAACCCTAAACCCTAAACCCCCTAAACCCCCCCCCCCCCTCCCGAACATCCCAATGGCCTTGGCAGCAGCTTTTGACGCCGCAGCCGGCTTCCTGAGGACCTTCTGCAGCGCAGGTCGGTTTAGGGTTTAGGGTTTCGGGTTTAGGGTTTCGGGTTTGGGGTTTGGGGTTTAGGGTTTAGGGCGATGATCCTGGAAAGATAGGGACTTTGCCCGGGTGTACCGACGCGCCTTAGTTCCCGGAACATGAACCCGATATTCAAGGCAAAGTGTCTTTTGCAAGTATGTGCATTGGCCATCGTCACAGGCCAAGCGACACAAAGCATAAGAAGCGGAGAGCCTATTTGTTTACTCCTGCGAAACCGGATTGCCGAGCCTGATCCTAACAATATGGCAAACTCACCGATCGACAGGCTCTTGGAGCGTCTCTGCCTCTAAAGCCTTGCACGCAGCAAAAAGCGATGGGACCCTGAAAGTTCGCGGCGTAGTCTCGTAACGCTGCAGTTGCTGCAGTTACGCTTTTTTCGAACCTCAGACCTTAATCCCTATAACCCTCCCTCCCCAGCAACAACAACAAAGAGAAACCGAAGGGTCCCAGACCTTACGTGACCCTAGGGCTTGGAGCTGCGAGTGCTAGGCAGCTGAGGGTTGAGGACTGTAGGATTGAGTGGAGTTGAGGATTCAGAAGACTCAGGGGATGGGATTAGGTTGAGGATTATAAGGGTTGAGGGTGTGAGGGTTTAGGACTTAGGCCTTCAAAGTTGGGCTGAACCCTGCCGAAAGGCCTTCGGTTCCTCCTCCGCCTCCTCCTCTTCCACTTCCATGTCCTCCGGCGCTTCGTCCGCCTCCTCCTCCCACACTTCCCAAGGAAGGGCCCAACTCATACCCCCTCATTAAGGCATATACGGGGGTTTGCGAACATGCGGGTCCCCGAAAATGGACCGCAAACAGAAAGACCCCAATAAGGTACCCAAAATATCGTAAACCCCCATATCCCAGTTCACAGGAAGAACCGTATATGATTTGAGAGATATTCATGGTCAGGACTATACAAAAGGACCCCACATGAAGGACCCCTAGTCTCGTAGACCTCCATTTGGGGTGAAGGTGCGAGGCCGCCGGACCAGGGAGTCTTGAAAGGCCGTAGCTTTGGAAGCCAACCATGAAAGCAAAAAAACCGTAGTGTAGGGTTTAGAGACCCTCCCACGCCCTTTTGGAGCGACTTCAGGGGCTCCTGTGAGCATTGAGAAAGATAAATAGATAGATATATCCATATGTATATTTATATATATATATATTTATATTTATATTTATCTATGTATATTTATATGTTTTTAAACCCTAACCCTAAACACTAAACACTTCCTAAGCCTTCATAGAGTCGTCGACACAGATCCTAGACAGTGCCCTGAGGCCCTAAACCCTGAACCCTGAGCCCGCCTAATCCCGAAACCCTAAACCCTAAACCCTAAACAGGGCCCTGAGGCCCTAAACCCTGTAGGGCGCGGGTTTTGGGCTGAAAGGCTCGGGGGATCTTGGCGCTTAAGGGCTTGAGCATCCTGAGTTCCGGATCTTAGGGGTTTGGGGTTTCTTAGGGTTTAGGGTTTAGGGTTTAGGGTTTAGGGTTTAGGGTTTAGGTTTAGGGTTTAGGGTTTAGGGTTTGGGCTCTTTGGGGCTTTATAGGGTTTAAGGCGGCTTTGGGCGCTTTGAGAGTACTCCTCCTCCGGCTCTGCCTCGGGCGGGGTCGCGGCCTGGGCGCTGTGCTGGTTTGAGCTGGGTAGTTGGCAAATCAATCCCCAAGTAACCCGAAAAACTAAACCACCCTAAACCCTAAACCCTAAACCCTGAAGGGTTCGAGACAACAACTGCAGCAGGCTGGGCGTTCGACGGCTGAGGGCTTGGGTGCGGGGTTTAAGGCTTGCTTGGAGGTTCATGGTACTTAAGGGTTTAGGGTTTAGGGATTAGGGTTTAGGGGTACTTGTTAACCAATGCTAACTGTACTGAAAACCCTCTTATCAGCCCCTTAAGTGCCCTAATATGCTCATAAGTACAGTTCTAGTCGGTCAATAAGCACCATTCACTTCCAATTAGGGCTTAGGGTCCAGCGCTGAGGGTTGTTGATAGGTCTTGGGGGTTTGCAGTTTACATCAGGTCCAGATAGCGGGATTATGAGGGTTTAGGGGTTTAGGAATTTAGGGCTAGTGAAGTTACGGTCCAGGAGCATAGGGTTCAGAGGTCAAACGGTTTGAGGTATAAGGTTGACAAAGGTTCAGAGTTTAGGGCACTGGCTCATAGGGTCCATGTAAGGTACATAGGGCCTTCATCCTCTTCCGCACGGCTTGGGGTCCGTCAGCACTCCACACCGTTTCAGCTTCCTTCTGATGAGTGCCTTTTGCTGAGCGCTTTCGGGTCGCAATTCTTTGGGTTGCAAGAGCATCTCAGCTAATTACAGGGAGCAACCCATTTTCCTAAACCTTAAACCCAAAACCCAAAACCCTATCAATGACCTCAATCCAAAGGTCCATGAGTCAAGCCTTGCACCTTTAGAACTACCCCGGGCCGTACAAGAAACCCCCGCAGAGCAACATGCCCCTAGAATCATCGGGCTCCTTAATCCCTTCCACACCCCACACAGGGTTGCTAGGTGCGCGGTTCATACTTCCATTGGTTTACTCATCTAACAAGCACTTGGGCCATGGCAGCCTTTGCTTTCGCCTTTGGCTGGCGCCTCAGGTCATTCACAAAGATTTAACTTGGAGGTTCATGGTACTTATCAACCAATTATATCTGTGCTTACAACTGTACTTATGACCATGTTCGGGCACTTAAGGGACTTATAAGCAAGTTATAAGTACTAAACCCTAAACACAAAGCCCTAAACCCTAAACCCTAACCTCCAAGTATGCGTGATTAGGCGTTTGGCGTGCCGCGACTCAGGCCTCAACCCTAGGGTTTAGGGTTTAGGGATTAGGGATTAGGGTGTAGGTTTTAGGGTTTAGGGTTTCAATCCTAAGTTCGACTGTAAACCTTGAATCAAACCTGCTTCCTTAGTTGCTGAGTTCACAAGCCCCCAAAAAGTGTGCACTTTCAGTTCTACTCCCAAAAAGTGTCGAGTGCACGCTTACTCAGCTACTAAGCTTAAAACATGGACAAGCCCATTCCTATAACCCTCTAAAGGACACGGGAATGCCACCTTCCGACGAACCTCCTTCCATCTCCAAAGTATGAAAGCAAAGTAAGTCCCAAAGCGGGATTAACGTGGGCCGGACCTTCTTTGAAAGAGATTGGGATGGGTTTTGGGTGGGTTTGACTTGTTTGAAGGGGCCCGGGGTTCAAATCGGGTTTGGGGGTACTTCGGGCGGCTTCAGAGGACTTGTTTCAAGGCTCAGATGTGTCGGACGGAGTAAATTTATAGGGTGCTTGGTACCCTCGGAAAGAAGACCGGGAATGAGACTCTCTTTATTGGGACAACACAACATGTCCAAAGGTCCTCCTTAGCTACCTAGTTTTGGCTTTCGAGGCGCGTGTAGGTTCAGACTTCAGAGCTTCCGTCCCAGATGATATCCTACACCCTTAACCACCCGAATCCCGAAACCCTAAACCCTGACTAAACCGTGAACCCCAAAAACCGAAAAGCATTCCCGCCAGGCGTCGCTGCAGGCTTCTTCATAGTCGGCGCCTGCCCGAAGAAGACAACAGAGGAGGGTTTAGGGTTTAGGGTTTAGGGTTTGGGGTTTAGGGTTTAGGGTTTAGGGGATTATGTTTGGAGTGCTGTCTTGCAAGGAAGTAGGGTTTGAGGTTTAGGGTTCGCAGCGGGGTTCTGGGGTTTCAGGTCCCGACATTCTAAACAGTTGTCAATCGCAGCACGCAGCAGCAGCGACAGCAGCAGCAGCAGCCGAATCCGCGGTAATTCCGTTAGGGAGAGGCGAGTCTCAATATCTCTCACAAGACGCACTTAGGGTCTATAATAGGGTCTAGGGTTTTCAGCGCCGACCCGCTTATGGTTCAAGTTCTGGGTGTTAACCTCTTGAACACACTCGGCACACTCGACCACAACGTGTAAGGGGTTTAGGGTTTAGGGTGTAGGGTTTAGGGGAGACACAGCTCCAAAGTCTACGGAATGGCTTGGGCTAAATTTCAGGTCTGCGGGCATCGGGAGGTGGAAATACTATAGCAGGTGACGGTTTGGGGTCCACATGCACTCCAAAGGCTTAAAGGCATGATCCACGCCCCTAAACCCTAAACTTCCCTAAGCCCTAAACCCTAAAACGTTCTTTTCTGAGGCCCGGCTGGCATTGAAACCATTCCTCCAGCAAGCCATCTTTGCAGCTGCGAGACATTCCTTTGGGGGACGAAGGAACTCAGTACTTAGGAGAATATACAAAACCATGACTGTAAGAGGTATGAGAGTTTCGCGTTTACGCCCCCCAAACCCGTAAACCCTTGTAAGCCCTTACCAACCCCTATAACCCTCATGAACCCTTATAAACCCCCAATAAACCCACTTGAACCCTCTCAATTAAACCCTTATAAGGCCTTTTCAGCCCCAAGACACATGCTGCACGTGACATGGCTACTCAGAAACCGCGATGGGGATGTGGGCTGCAAAACACGGGATTCTCTGCGGCTCGAAGACTTGGATCAAGATCAAGGACCCTTGGCACAGACTCTGGAAACCTCACATACCCATGATGCACCAAAAACACATGGGGCCCACTTCGAATGCATCTCTAGGCCCCACTTGCGGGCACACGACTGTAAGCACGTTGAGTGGGCACAACATGTGGCTGCAGTTGCATGCATTCAAGAAGGCATTGGGGACTCGAAATCTTTCGTCTTCTGAAGCAATTGCATCACGCCCTGGGAATCTGGGAAACATGAATCAACAGATCGCATGAGTAGCAGGCACACTGGACGCCCGCCCACACGGGGGCACATCATCCACTCCCGTTCACGTCAAGCGCACCTATGCTCTGTGATCATTTACGCGCATTGATAAGAGCTCATGATGGCGTCGTAAGGCTTCCAAAGTGACGCCACCAAGTACTTCGGAATCATCATGATTTCCTTGCGACCACTGAGGACCATCGCCCTCCTGAATCTGCAGTTGCGGCAACTGCAACCCCTGAGCCACCCGGAAATCCTTTTAAACCCTTTTAAACCCTTCGAAGCCCTAACCCTGCTATGCCCTAAACCTCCTTTGCCTTGATTCCCCAGGTAGCCATATTGAAATTAAAGGCCCCCTTTCTTTCGGCTGGCTACTTTATCAGAAACCTTGAACCAAAAAGGGAAAGGAGTACCACTCGGCTACCAAGAGCCCTAAACCCTAAACCGTAAACCCTAAACCCTAAACCCTGAACCCTAAATAAACCCTACAGGGCGCGCTCGAACCATGAAACGAAAGGGGGTTGGAACCCTCAAGCAGAAAATTGCGCGCCACGCCGAGTTTGTTTGGGACCTTTGAAGCAGAAAATTGCAAACCACGCCTTGAAAAAGGGAAGCAGCGAGTGAAAACCAACTGCAGCCGCGACTTGTTGACTGCTGTCGCCAGACGGTTGCCTTTGTGGCTGCTTCTAAGACCCAAACCCTACCTGTGTGTGCAAACCAGGTTTCGGGGCGCGGCGTTGACATTCTGGGGGGGTTTGGGGGCGCGGTGTTGACATGTTGCGTTGGTTTCGGGATGCGGCGTTCCCATTTCGGGGTGGTTTCGGGGCGCAGCGGCAACATTTCGTGCGTTTGGTGCATTTTTTTCGGGGCTCCTGAACGCAAGGTACTTTGTTCCTTCTTTCGGGGCGCGGTGTTGACATTGCATGTACCTGAAAGC